TTTGGGCAATGGGTAATTTACCGAGTAATTGGGCAAGTTTAACTATTACATTTATTGTTTTCATTTTTTATTGAAATACTTTACCCTTTTCATTAAACTTAAATTTTACACCTCAAGAATTAAATTTATTCATAAATAAATATATTATCTAAAATAATTTATAGAGTATTTAGAAATTGTTTCACTCCCTTAATTCATACTAAGAGATAATTTTCTATTTATATTTGTGTATACAAGATTATACAAGCGAAGAAATAAAAGTAATAATTATAACAGTAAAAAGTAGGGAAGTAATTGATTCAAAGGCTTGATTATTGTGTCATGCTACCGGTGCAGCTTAATTTTAGTCTTGATGTGGAAGTGCTGCTTGACTTGAGGCGTTTATTGAACAGTGATTGTTGACTTGTCGATATTCTTCACTATTCTCATTATTGTATTGTAAATTAAGTTTAGATTCAAGTTTTACAACTAATATTTAAAGAAATTAATGTTTTAAATATATTAAATTAATTTAAGATATGTGCATTTAAAGTCACCTAGAGACAAATTAGTTTTAAAATATATAAAAACTAATTTAAAGACTTGCTAATAATAAATAAAAATCAATTAAAAAATGAATATCAGTCGGTATTATAAAAAATTAAATAAAAAAAATCTTAAAATGACCTTGTTTTAATAAAATCTTATTTGAAAAAACTAAAATATCCTAATTATTTTTAGACTAATGATTGATACGCCTTCTAATTGTTGGGGAAATAGGGTAAAAAATCTATAAAAGGCTTCAAGATATACTGCAAATGCTACTTTCCTTTAGACTAATTTCGGCCTCCATTAAATCTGGTATGCAAAGGGCGTAACCCGAAATACTTGTAGGATACAAGGAAGTGTCTTGTTGATCTTGCCTTTGCACTAGCAAGATTTAACCACTGAACCGTCATTTAGAAAGCGACAAAACAATAGTTTTTGTATAGGGATTTTTGCAGCAATTGTAGTACAAAAAGGGGCTTTTTTATTTAGATAATAGTAGGGATTTGTTTTTGGGTTCAAGAGACGAAGAAGAAGAAGAGATAACTCCATATTTATGAGAGCAAGATGTTTGTTGGGAATAAACACTTCTTTTCATATCATTAATTGAAATTATCTGACTTTACGTTAAATTTATGCATTGAAACTCATTCAAAAGTCATTTGATTTGATTTGAATTCCAAATCATGTGTTTCCTTGCCTTCCAAACTTACCCGCTCTTCCTTAAGAAATTTATCAGAATTCTACGTAAATGGTTTGAACTATATAAATGTGATTTGAACCAAAATCATACTTTTTGAATCATGATTTCATGTAAATGGTTCAAACCATACTTATATGTTTTGAACAAAAAATGATTCGAACCAAAATCGTCTTTCTCAAATGCATTCTGTGCAATTACTTTAAACAATTTTTTATGGTTCGAATCTAAATCCTAAAATTAAATTGAAAATTCTTCAACACTAATTTAATACATCTGTCAACATTCATCAGTTTAACTATGAAATTTTAAAAATGAATCTTTTCATGCTTTTAATTTCAATTTTAAAATAATAATTTTTTAACAAATATGTTGTGATGTATATTAAATCAAAATGTGTACTAATTGTTATCTTATTTTTACCTAATATTTTACAAATCAAGTTGATAAATATGAACATAAGAAATTAAACTTAAATTTATACTTCTCTTGCCCATACCTAGTTCATCAATGGATGAAAAATACAAAAACCCATCGGGTATACATAAAATTGTTATCCCAAAGTCACGAGCTCCCTTGTAAATTATTTCTAAGCACTGCCTCATTATATAAAAAATAAATAAACAAT